CACAGGGTATACAGCTAGGGAACACCCCAGTAAAGATGCTATCACAGGGCACACAGCCGGGGAACACCCCCGTAAGGATGCTAGTCTATCACAGGGTATACAGCTAGGGAACACCCCAGTAAAGATGCTATCACAGGGCACACAGCCGGGGAACACCCTGGTAAGGATGCCGGCCCGTCGTACGTCGTATACCTAATCGTGCCAGCATGGCGCTTCAGCTAAATCCTGGAATCTCAGTCTTTCTTTGTCAGCTATCTAGGACATATCCATAATTATTGATTTCATTGTTTTATCCTTGGGGTAAGTCTGATATTTGGGGCTTTCATTTTACACAATAGGCCATTAAAATGCTAATAAAATGACAAAGTACATAATTACAGATAGTCATCTTTATTACAGCAGAGTGTAACAGATTAATAATATGGGCTCACTTGTCCCACTATATGAACGGAATGTGTTAATAGGCATTTGACAGGAACCACCATTCATTGGGGTCCACAGAGAAACAACACCCTACAATCAACGTTTAAAGAATTTGCAATCTTGATTTTTGGTTCACCTTAAAGGAATTATCCATGAACTAATGCATTGTTTGAATGTTTTGTGCAGACGGAGAATATAACTTTTTTTTTCTGATCCTACTAGGATGAGCAGTAGAATCTACATCTTCCTCTATAAGACCAAACTTACTTAAGCATCCTAAAAGACTGATGGTAATTAAGAATCTTAAGCATATAAGTCTGCTAGAATCATGTAGAAGCTGACCAGAGGGTGTGCAGCTAGGAGCGCATTCATGCAGTTGAAAATGCACAAGACAGTGCTAACGTGAAGAGACTGCAATACATTAAGGTAGGTGCATTCCTCACAAGCACAAAGCCAAGGGTGATATTTATACACTTGTATGTCAGAATCTGTGAAGGACAGCCCTTAGGTTCGTCATCAGGGATGTGTCTCATTAGCACATAACATGCTTTATTATATTATATTATATTATATTATATTGTATTATATTTTGGAAACAAAGAAAACATTAAAATAAGGCCGCCACTAACGATGGAAGTAAAGTAGCATGGATGATATAGCACTATGATTTAGTTACTACGATCTATGCATCCTTATATAAGAAAAGTTTTATCATTTATAATAACACTCTTATTGATCCCCGTGAAGAAATTCTCTTTTCGCCTACCCCATCTTGCTCTCCATGACATACAAATGCCTATGTAGGTGAGCGCAAGCGTGGCAGCAAAGGGCAGCCACCTGTGGCGGTGCCCATGGAGCTGGGGGTTAAGGGCTTTGGTCAAGGGCCCCCAGACATGTGACTATTATGGCAAAGCTGGGCTCGAACCAGCCACCTTCTGATCACAGACAGAGGCTTAGCACACTGAGCCACATACTGCCCCTCCTATACCTGCACAGCTCATAATCTCAGCTAAATTAAAGGGCTGGCTAGGATGTTGCCTATATGTGTCTGCATATGTGCACCAGTAAGAGGCTTTTACATCCTTTACCAGGACCGGTTTTGGGAAGATCGCCCCACAAAGACTGGTACAAAAGCTGGAAGAAAGGATGTTGTGTTGGTATCTCCAATAACATGCAACACACATGTGCTTCAGTCTGTTTCTTTTTGGAAGCCAATAAAAAGTAATTGTGACATTGAGAAAACACTGCTGTGGTGGTCCATAGTCCACAGAGATGTTCTGCATATTGACTCTTGACTGTATAGGAATAAACTTGTGATTTATGCAATGTGCAAAAATTCCAAGGGGACCCCCCGGGTCAGAGGAATATGAAAGCCCCCGGGTGCTTGTTCATAGTTACTTATGAGATCGTGCATATTAAAGGTAGGCGGTCCTTGGCTCTGCTCTGTTCCCATTTATTCCCCACCATCACCACCATATGCTATTCTTCATTGTGCATAAATAAAACAAATATACTAACAGAGCAAGACCAACAGTGTATGCAGAACACAAAATCCAGGATTGAGCAAGATGAGCTAAACTTCTTTATAAGCGTAACTGACATTTGTGGAAACACAGGCAAGTTTTTTATTGGATGCTTTAATTACCGGAATGTCAATCAAGGCAACTGCCAGGACCAACGACTCGAGGCTGGATTTTCCATATATTTTGCCTGCTGATTGAACACAACTTACTCCACAGTAATTACTCTGCCTCCATTCCTTGGGCTCACTGTCGATTTTTACATACCGCACAATAAAATCCACACACCTTATGGAAACTCCGGAAGTAAGCTGCCTTTTCATCCGGAAACTTCTCCAGCCGCCTGGGTCCTTTACTCGATGCCTTCTTAAATACCAGCCAGCATCTCCTGAAGATCTGTCAAAGGAAATGAGACACATTAAAAACAGATTTAGGGTTTTTTAAATTTTACTGAATCTATACTATGAAGGCAAATTATAGACACTTAAGGGGATGATGACAGTTTCCTGACTGTGGTATGATCCTACAAAGTTCAGTAATATAAAGCATACCGTTGTGTTAGTGTCTCTGTAATATATATCCTTTTGGACTGTAGAACATAACATGCAGGAAAGTTCTGGTACTGATGCAGTGCTGATGCAGTGCAGAAGATCCAGATTAAAACTGAATGGCGATTATGATTCCCTATAGTGCCACAGTTACACTTCCCCACATATGAGTGGGTATCTGCTGGGGCAGACAGGGTTAAGTCCCTTTCACTATGGTTCAGCAGTGGTCTTCACGGAAGACCGATACTGAGCTGCAGGAGATCCTTTGATGAGCAGGATGGGGGGAAGTTGGAGAACAGCAACCCTTCAAAATGCCAGGATCAAGGTCTGGCGGAGACATCCCCTAGGATTACCTGGGAATAGCAGTAGCGTCCAGGGGTCTCATCTCCAAACCAGCATTCCCCGTCACCCATGGTGCATGTTAACCTCAAATACCTAGGAGGTCCATCAAGCAGGTATTTGTGCGAAAGATCAGATAATATGGGACGTGTTTTACAATTTCAAATAAATGCCAGTTTTGAATTTGCTAGAAATAGGGCACATATAGCCACCAAGGCAGTGTCTCCATGCCGCCTCAGACAGTTACCGTCTGCTCTTAAAGATTACCTGAAACCTGCATTTGCTGCTCCCAGCTTTAAATCCCAAACCTGATTATCACTTGCATAAGTAGGTTTCAGCCACTACAAGAGTAATTTATCTTCATGATGGGCTTCTCCAGGAAGAGCCGATTCTATTTCAGTTTCCTGTTCTCCCACTGTCCTAACCATATATTGATTCAAAAATAATAAAAAAAATACAGCAGGAAGGACTTTTGTCTGGTCCTGTCTTGCCCAACCCGACACTTTATCAGTTTGAAGGCCCTGCCAGGCAGCAGGCCACTCCAAAGGCAGCAGCACTGGGGCGAGGACAGATGCTCTCACAGTGCAAAAAACGTTGGGGGTGCCTCTGACGAGGAGACTGATCTCACCTAGACCAGCTCTTCAGGACCAAATGGAGGCTTATTTTTAAACAGGACCCTCTGGGGGCTCTGAAGTCATAACAGCAGCAAACCCAACTCTCTGCACAGCGTTTCCTCGTTTCCGCATTTTGAGCATATTTTAATAACAGAGTTTGATTCATTCTTAATACAAACCACCCACTTATAAAAAGCAAAAGAGTGATTAAGGAATAATCGATATGGAAATAGCCTGCAAGGAACATACTGTATATATACCATGCTGACATCTCAGGAGTATAAAATGACCCCCCCCCCAACACACATGCTTTGAAATGATTGTTTTTGCAAAAAAAACACCACGAACTGCACGACCCCCCCCCCCCCCCCCCCCCCCCCCCCCCCCCCCCCCCTTAAAGGGAATACTTAAATTTAACTCCCAGAGACAAGCTTCCAACAGGCAATCTCCATTTCTCTAGTGTGCGTTCACTGCAGAGACCTTTCTCCTGGAACCATTTCTACGGACGCAGCGGCAGGTTACAGGGTGTTGATTAAACAAGCCGAAATGAACCCACACAGAAAACCAATTACAAAATGGTGAAAAAACTGTGATTTTCCAGGGCTGAAAACACTGCAATAAGCACACAGTACTATGCTTATGACAGAGTGACAGTGCAGTGTCGTCCCTGGTGATGGAGTGACTCCAGTACAGGGTGCCCCAGTGATGGAAAGTACAGTCAAATACTATTTAAAAAACAGATTATTCCTCTTTCTAAAGCTCTTGAGGAATCATATTAAATGATAGAGAAATGTGTTAGCTTAAGCTAAGCCCAGTGACACATCTGACTCACTGCATAAATATTCTTTCAAAAATAAAAAACAAAAGAAATTGAGCCTACTGTACGTCTTGCGCCAAACTACAGTAACGCAAAGATCATAATTTTTATTGCGATGTGAAAGGAATAAAAAATATAAACTCTTCACTTTTTTCCTTATGCATAGAAATATGCATGAAAGTATCCACTAGTTTCACTTCATTGAAAAAATACCTAGATTTTCATGCTTCTGCCAATATCAATGAAAATTCCCTGCAGCAACCTACTGAAACGTAACGTGTCCTGATGTTTCCCTTGCCTGAAAAAACAACATGTGTGAAATGTGTTATTTGGAATTAAATTTGAAAGGCCAATGTGACACTGACGCAGAAAGTGACATCCTGGACCCTAGTGACCTCAAGTGATGTCTGCTGCCGTAAATGTCGCTTGTTAATGGATGTTTCGGCAATGTCTGTGTGCTGCTGATCTAAAGTGATGTGGAAGCACTGCAATGTAAGATGGGCAAAGGCACAAATATAAGCATCTGCTTAAGCACACCGTTTTTCCAAGGAAGGCCATCCATCCATCCATCCATCCATCCAGCTTACACAGAGTAGGGTGGGTTGATCTTGTAAATACGATGTTGGACTGACTGAGATTGATAGATTTATATATAGTAACAAAGAAAAACCTTACATATGTTGAAAAAAAGGAAAAACTTTTTCAGGATAACGAGTCAGATTTCTGTCTAATTTTTTGCATATATCCGGTTAGGGTTAGGGTTAGGGTCAGGGTTAGGGTTAGGGTCAGGGTTAGGGTTAGGGTTGTGCACTGCAAGCTCCAGTTGTTGTTCTTTTACATTAGTTGTTGTTGTTTTACATTTTGCTGTTCCTTGGAATATTTATTTTTTATTGTTTTTTTGCGTGTTAGAACGTTGATATAATGGCAAAAATCTACTACAGTATTGACTAGAACAGAGAGCAGCAAGAAATTCTGTTGACAACCGTCCCCTTTGGATACAACAGAGCCTCTAACGTTTCGTCAAGTGATTCAATGCAGCTATTTTGTTAAAAACAGCAATCCCGATTTGAAGGAATATGACATTTCCAAATTAATTGCAAAGGATGTTATTGAGGTCTGGCGATCGGTCAACCCACGGTTGCCACTCTATGATGAGTATTACATTGTAAAGAAGATAGGTAAAGCTTGTTTCCAGAAGACGAAGAAGATCAACTGGAAGACGCTTTAAACAGTCCAGCAGCAAAATTTTGAGGAAAGCCTTGACAAACTTTTCAACATTTCTGCGTGCACCTGTCATCTACCTATTCGACCCTGCAATGACAAATGTGTGAGATGCCCAATTGAGAATTGTCAAACTCAACATATAGTCTGCTTGTGCCCTCCAAGTTAGAAGGTTCCACTAGAGAAGAGAGAGTACTTGAGAGATCAGAGAGCAAAGCATGGACCAAAAGGTTCATTCCAGTTGGGATCAGTAGATCAAGAGGCAGTAAAGACAATGAGAAGAGCAGAGGCAAAAACCGAGAGATTGAAGAGGAAGCAGCAAGCCAAGGACCTACCGTCCACGAGCACATCTCATGTTATTGCGTCAGATTCAAGTCAATCCTCAAACAACGATGACAGCGAGGATGAGGAGTTCAATCCGGATAGGATTCCCAACTCCAAAATATGCCATGGAACTGATTAGGGGTGACGTGTCTTCTCGTCTTGGAGCCAGCCTCGCAAATGCATTTCTCCTCGACTTACAGGCTATGAATCTCCTCAAACCTGGTCTGGATGTAGGACAAATAATAATGGATAAATGCAGAATTGATCGGGAAAAGTATAGAATGAAAGAGAAGAGTGATAAGGAGCAAGATGAAAGCATGGTTCCATTGGTTTGTATTGGAGTTGATTCAAAGATTGATAGAGATACATCAATGTACAGAGAGGTTACAAGTGAAGATGGAAAGATCAAATTGAAGAAAGGAAAGGGATCTGAGCATCATTTGACATTTACTAAAGAATCAGGAAAAGATAGTGGAACATATCTAACTCACAGGACTATTCCAACAACAGGAGCAACAGGAGCTGTTCTTGCAGCAGAGGTACAGAGCATCTTGGAGGAGTTCCAAAGTGTAAACTCTATCAAAGCAGTACTCATTGATAATATAGCAACAAATACTGTTTGGAAAAGTGGCCTTGTTACAGTGCTGGAAACTAATCTCAAGCGGAGACTGCACACTATTGGTTGTTCTCTTCATCAAAACGAACTACCTTTTCGAGCAGTTTTTAAGTACGTTGATGGCAGCAGTAAGAGTCCCACGACCTTCAGCGGCCCATTGGGTAAATTATGTGCGATTGATCACCAGGATCTGCCACAGATCAAGTTCAGAACCCTTAATGGTCCACTTGATGATATCCAGTTTCCAGATGAAACTCTGATCTTAGAACAGACCAGAGACTTCTGCTGGAGTATATTCAAGGAATTTCCAGTGGCAGAGTTGACCTCAGATTTGCTGCATGGAAAATTGGACCCCTCAATCATGCCAGATGGCTGACGCTAGCAATCAGGTTGATGTCTGTTTGGACAAGACTTGTTTGTCCAGTCAGCTGGTTTGAGATCAAGAGGGATAACAAGTTCAGCAACCAGCAGAAATACATCTACAACATGATCCAAAGGATCAAGAACCAATCAGAAGACGTTAAATGTGTGGCTCTCAAGAACCTGGAGCACAAGGCCTTTGCTTTGCTACCGGAGAACATGCTCTACTCCATGCTGAAGTCCAACGACCTGGCAGTGAGCAGGCTGGTTTGCAGAAAATCCTCACAGAGCTGATGTCCCTCCAAAGAAGAGACTGAAGACGATCACAGCCATCAACATGAACGCAACCCACTGGTCTGATCTGATCAATCTGTCATATCCTGGCATCTGTGAACCTGCCCTGACTGAACACTTCTCCAACAGCGATCTTCACGTTGCACTAGAGAATAGCACACAGCTGAAGCTACCAGATCTACCCTCACATTCTCAGATTGTTGAGAGGGCAGTAAAGCTAACATCAAAGTTTTGATGACATTTGTGGTTAGATAATAGATGTT